AAAAAACTTTCTTGAAAATAATAATTGATAGACTGAATTCATGGAATAAGGATCTTTTAATTGGCGACGAGAGTTAAAATGGAAAATTTTCTTGCGAATCTGTTGGCGAGGCAACAGGAATGGTCACAGCAAATGTTGGCTCAGCAGCAGCAATTTTTTGCACAAATGACGAATCGTCATGAAGGCAGCCCATTGTCGGGCGTTTCGACTGCAGCATTTTCGGCAGCAGTACCAAGGTTTCATAGTTTTGATGAGGAGAAGCACAATTTTGCATCTTACAAAACGCAATTGGACGAGCATTTCAAGGCTTATGGCGTAGAAGATGTGGAGAAAAAACGGTCGTTTTTACTATCATGGATAGGGGACGATGCATTCAGGCTACTGCAAAAGTTGGTTGGGAAGCACGCAATTCAGTCTTTATCGTACGAAGAAATTGTGGCAAAATTCGAAGTACATTTCAAAACCAAGACACACATTATTAAGACGAGGCATGATTTTTACAAAAGACAGAAGCGTGAAGGTGAAACTTATAAACAATGGGTCACAGAGCTTCAAAGTATGGCACAAAATTGCAATTTTGTTTGCAAGAATGATCAGTGTGGTAGTGAGTATGTAGATGAGTTAATAAGAGACTTGTTAATTTTGTATTCACCTGATGAACCGGTACGTGGAGCATCGTTACACAAAGAAAATCCTACTCTAGAAGAAGTGATGCAGATTGCTGAAACTTTTGAGTCAACGCAGGCTACAATGAAGAGCATCAAGGACATTAACAACAAGGAGGTCGATATTTTTGCAATGCAAAAACGTCGTTAGTATAGCGAACAGCAACGTAAAAAGGACTTAAATAATCGAGAGTCGCAGTTACCAGCGTGTAATGGGTGTTTTAAGAAGCACAAGAAGTCGGACTGTAAATATTTGAAGGTCAAGTGCTACAAATGTGGGCGTATTGGACACATCGCTACTGTATGTAAGTCCGTTCCGAATTTTAAACATAAACAAGTAAACGTATTAGAAGATGTAGAAAATTGCAACGTGGTTAATAGCAACATTATTACGCGGGCTGGTAATAAAATGTTCATTGACATTGAAATTAATGATACTCCAGTGAAATTTCAATTTGATACGGGTTCAGTTTGCTCCGTAATTGGTTTGTCAACATACGAAAGTTTACGAAAACCAACACTGTATAGTACTTCTACTAAGTTATTCGGATATGGGTCAGTGGAGGTTCCAATTTTGGGTGCAATGCAGGCGAAGGTTAAGATAGGTGATGAAGTACAACACCTCGAACTTATTGTGGCTAATTCCGAAATGTGCACCAATATTTTTGGTTTAAACTGGTACGATCAGTTTAAAGCTGTTCAAGTCTTTCAAATTATTCAAAATTCGGATTTAAAAAAACTTTGCGATGATTACAATGAAATATTAAGGAAGGAGTTAGGTCGATGTAAGCAAGTTAAAGCACATATTTATATGAAGTCCGATAGTAGACCAAGGTTTTTCAAACCTAGATCGATTCCATATGCTTTGTTTGATTCTTTTAAGGAAGAAGCAAAACGTTTGACGGAGTTAGGTATATGGAAGCCAGTTAAATTTAGCCACTGGGCGTCTCCACTAGTTATTGTTCCTAAGCCAAACAAAAAATTTAGAGTATGCGGAGATTTTAAAGTTACAATCAACCCTCAAATGGACGTGGAGCAATATCCAATACCACGTGTTAGAGACCTTTTTCATAAATTAAATAAAGGAAAGCTGTTTTCCAAAATAGATTTATCTGATGCGTACTTACAAATTGAATTGGATGAAGAATCAAAAGATTTAACTGTAGTAAATACTCCACTTGGGCTTTATCAGTACCAGCGTTTACCTTTCGGTGTAGCAAGTGTTCCTGCTATTTTTCAGCGTTTGATTGAGGAGATTATAAATGGCATTCCCGGTTGCATTAATTATTTAGATGATATAATATGCACAGGAAAATCCGAAGCGGAACATTTAGATAATCTACCCATGTTGTTTAAGAGATTAAAAGATTATGGATTACGATGCAATTTTGAAAAATGTACTTTAATGCAAGAAAGTGTAGAGTATCTTGGGCACGTAATTTGTGCTGCGGGCATTCAACAATCTGAGAAAAACACAGAGGCAATTAAAAATTTGCCGCGCCCTACAAATTTAGCCGAACTTCAATCTTTTATGGGAAAAGTCAATTATTATTGCACTTTTATTAAAGACTATTCAACTCTTTGTGGCCCGCTTAATTTTTTGCGTAAGAAGAATCAGAAATTTGTATGGAATTCTGCACAAGAAAACGTTTTTCAAGAACTTAAAAAGCAAATTGTTGATATGACAAAGTTAGTTAATTTTGACAAGTCTTTGCCTATTATCCTAGCCACGGATGCATCATCATTTGGCATTGGTGCCGTTATTTCACATCGTTATCCAGATGGCTCTGAACGGCCAATTGCTCACGCTTCCAAGACTTTAAACGATGCACAAAAGAACTATAGTCAGATTGAAAAAGAAGCATTATCAATCATATTTGGAATTCGTAAATTCCACGATTACATATATGGTCGGAAGTTTATTTTAGTTACAGATCATAAGCCCTTAGTGTCAATTTTTAATCCAGCAAAAGGGATTAATTCTACTACTGCACACAGAATTCAGCGATGGTCACTGATCTTATCTGGTTACAATTATGACATTGTGTACAAAAGCACGAAAGGGCATGGTAATGCAGATGCATTATCGAGATTGCCATTCAAAGGGGATAAGGATTTTGATAATATGGAAGATGCATTTGAAGTGAATTCTGTGGAACAAATTAAAAATTTTCCTGTCAATGCAGATCTACTTGTTAAGTTCTCAGTAGCTGATCCGATTTTATCCAAAGTTTTTAACTACGTACGGAATGGTTGGCCTGAGAAAGAGTTAAGAGATAAGAACATTATTCCATATTTTCGTCATCGGTTCAACTTAACTATAATCGAAGGAGTATTGATTTTGCAAACCGATTTTGATCGCGTTGTGGTGCCAGTAAATCTTCAGCAAAAAGTTTTTAAAATGCTTCACGAAGGGCATTGGGAAATTGTTCGAACTTAGCCAGACGTTATTGCTGGTGGCCTGCGATTGACGCAGATATATGTAGTTTAGTTTGCACATGTTCAATTTGCAATTCTTTTAGCACGAGTTCTCCAAAAGAGTTCACACCTTGGCAAGAGGCAGAAAAACCCTGGCAAAGAATTCATGTGGACTACGCAGGTCCTTTTGAAGGTTTTATGTGGCTAATATGCGTGGACTCATTTTCCGGGTTTCCATATGTTATAAAAATGACAAATTCAACAAGTATTTCGACTATAGTAGCTTTACAAAATATCTTTGCAATAGAAGGTTTGCCAGAAGTTCTAGTTACAGATAATGGAAGACAATTTGTATCAAGCGAATTTGAAAACTTTTGTAAAGTTCATGGCATTCAACATTTGACTACAGCACCTTTACATCCTGCTTCGAATGGCCAAGCAGAACGATTTGTACGCACGTTCAAGAATGCTTTTAAGAAGCAAATGCTAGAGGGAAAAAATATGCAAAGTGCTCTATTAGCTTATCTCACTTCGTACAGATCCGCACCGAATAAAACCGGTAAAACGCCATCAGAGTTGTTACATGGCCGTCAACATCGCGGTTTATTATCACTGTTAAAACCAATTTAAAAAAAATCAGTTGAATTTTCGAAAACAAAATTGAAGTTAATCAAAATGTATACGCTCGTAATTTTTCCAAAGGGGATAAATGGATACACGGCGCAGTCATAAAACTCATTGGGAGAAGGATGTATTTAATAAAGACGCAATCAGGAGTAATAATTAAAAGGCATCAAAATCAAATTCGTTTAAATTCTAATTCTCATCAATCACAAGCTAGAACCTACTTAAATGCTTCGCAGTTAGCAGATCGTATATTTCACAAACCTTATATTGATATTGGTTATACAACACGGAATGAAGATTTTTCAACGTCAACAGCTGCAAATTCCGCGTTCAGATCCTTTGGCAGACCTTTTCTGCCAAGTCCAAAATGGCGTTGCTTAACAGAGATTCCGCTAACAAGATCTGAGCGAAACCGACGAAAGCCAAATTTCTTCGTGGCGTAGCTATTCAATTGACGGAGAGGAATTGTTATATCTACTTTATTATTATATACTTGTTCATTTGGTATAAATTTGTAAACTTCATCTTGGAAATGTTTGTTCTAAAAAACTTTCTCATGGAATAAGGATCTTTTAGTAAGTAACAGAAAATAATTTAAAACGCCTGAGTTCTTGTTTGTAACAATATTTTGGTATATAAATAGAATATAGGTCATAAAAAATAAAAGTGTTATTCATTTCAACATGTGTGTACACATCATTATACACAGGAGCCAATAAATTATTTTATATTTGTGACTTTTTGAATAGAAATAACACTGTACGGCAAAATCAACTTTTTTTCTGGGTATTGGACCAAACCATTTTTTTTAAGAGATTTAGTCATAATTAAGTAATTTCTCCGTTCGAAGTTCGAAATTGGACCTTTGGTAAAAAACTATTTTAAATTACTGTATGTAAACTACTAAAAAAAGTAAAAGCATAGTCGTGGTCCGCCATTTTCTCTTCATACGGCGCACGTATTAAATGTATGTTTTTCACCTTACCGAAAGCTACCGCTACATGGTAAGCCGGGGCGTATCAATTTTGAGTAAATTAGAGTCCTTAGATTTCGAAATTTTGAAGTTTCAAGCAGTTCTTAAATTTACCGTTATATGAAGTTCTTTTGCTCGCCCGTAGGTGCCCGAAAGTGGTAAATTTTTGTCTCTTTGGTTGATTCTCGGGCTGTTGAAAGCCATTTTGACCTAGTAATATTTGCTTCTCACTAGCCCGAATTCGGCCTCACTATTTTTCTGGACGAGTTTGTGAAAACCAGAAGTTATTGCAGAGGACCATCGAAATGTGGCCCTCTCTTGGCCATAAATTTCTCACTTACGCTCATTTGCCCAAACCTAGCCCTAAATATAGAATAGTTATTAACAAAAAATCACCAACAACATCATGGTCAAGTCTAAACAGCAGCAGAATAGCTGCCCGAAATAGCAGCTATAACTTCTATCAAAATGTAAATTACTGTTGTGTTTTCACAACAAATTTCATTAATAATAATGGCCCCAAGC